TTGTTTTTGAACTAAAATATGTTTTGGAATTATGGCCAAAAATTCAGTCTTGGTTTCATCAGATCATAACACATTTTCCACATGCTTTGTCAAGACTTGTAGGTTTTTGCAAAATGTAGCTTGTAGCTGGGCTTGGATGTTTTTCTTTGTATGAAAAAGTTTCTGCCTTGCCACCCTACCACACAGCTCAGAAGAATATGGGAGATTGTTGTCACATGTAGTATACAACCAGTACTTGCCAGAAATTCCTGCAACTCCTTTAATTTTGCTGTAGGCCTCTTGGACTTGTTTTCTTCTTCATCAATTTTGAAGGGACATCCACTTCTTGGTAATGTCATTGTTGTGTCATATTTTGTCTACTTGTTGATGACTGTCTTCACTGTGTTCCATGTATATCCAATGCCCTGGAAATTTTATTGTAGTTGTACCCTTCTCCAGACTAATAACTTCCAACAATGAGATCCCCTTGATGCTTTGTAAACTCTTTGCAGACCATGGCTTTTGCTGTAAGAGGTAACTAAGTAAATGACAAAAAAACCCAACTAGACACCTGAACCCTTTATGGACTTGATCAGAGTCATTTTAATTGATGGCAGGTGTGAAATGATGGTTTAATGTCAGTCTGAATGTGATTGGTTAATTCTGAACATAGTCACATCTCCATTATAAGAGGATGTGAATACTTACGCAACCACATTCTAGTTTCTTACTGTTATTCCCCCTCCCCCCAATTTCAAAGTTTTTCAACTGAATTGTGCAGCTTATATGTTATACTAAAGATGTGGAAAACCTGAAGTGATTTATCTTGGTATGGTTTTTTTTTTTACATCTCAAAAAAACTTGGCATTTTATTAGGTACCAATAAAGGAGAATACAGTATTTGTAGCTCAGGGTTGAAATGAGGGGGTCCTTGGTGCTCTCCGAACTTGGTTATTTTCTTGTAAATGTTTCATTACCCAAACTAGATAACATCATTAGTACTGAACGTAATGAAACATTTGCAACAAAGCAACAAAGCTCAAAAAGCACCAAGGAGCCCCTCATTTTAATAGGTTGTGTAGACATTTTATATCCACTGTATGTCTAAATCCTACATACATACAAGAGAATCTCCTCCCTACAATTCAACTTTTGTTTAATAACAAAAGTTTAGACTGAACAACCAGTACCAGATACCTAAGGGATTCTTAGGTATCTGGTACTGGTTGTTCAGTCTAAACTACCTTCTATGGAAATTACCCAACTCCCATAAAAATATTTTTTTGTTGAAATCATTCTTTGTCATTGACACTAACACTTTGCCATGCAGTTGAATATTTGAGTTTCTCTGTGACTTGATTTGGAAAAATATTAAGAATTAAGGTTACTGAAAAAGGCATATAGACTTCTAGTTTACTTTAAAAGCTACTGACCACTTCTGAGCTTTTCTCTGAATATGGCCTTGTCAGCCTGAAGACAGTGATGCTTACAGTATGTCCTGGACATTCATATTTACTTAAAGTTTAAAATGATTAAATACATCATGACAAACAAGTTGGGTTGCAAAAAGAGCCAATTATTCTCCATATGCATAATCTATAAACTTGAATTCCTGTATATCCAGGAAAGTAATCTTCCCAAGCCGACAGGTAGCTCTGAAAGATACAATAAGTGCACAGCAACTAGTTCAACCTGTTCTACCTGGCAAGGTTGACAGTTCAGATGCCCAATGCCACCTTTCCTGCTTGATCTGCTCTCTAGTCTAAATCTTTCAGTATACTTTCATCACGTATATCTTCAAAGGCAAAAAAATCCATCTCTGCATCTTTTAAATATCTGATCAGGGGTGCTATAGTCTTCCTCACTATTTATAGTACTCTTGCCAATCCTCAAATCCATTAGAAAACTGCATCAACATGAACTTTGTTATCTTCATTGTTAGTCTCTATCTTGCTACTATTGTCTCTATCCTTAGTCATTGCAAGCCACCTGACTTCCCTCCAACATAATAGGTGGCAAAGCCTTAATAGATGTTACACATTTTGAGGCTGTCTTTAGTATAAAAGAAAAATGCTACCTTTCATCAGATAATACGTAGAGGAAAGAGTTTTTTAAGATGGCATTCACATTATATAGACAAGTGTTTCTCAACCTTGGCAGCTTTGAGATTTGTGGACTTCAGCTCCCAGAATTCCTCACAACTCAAAGCTGCCAAGGGTGAGAAGCACTGGTCTATATAGAGAATACACTCACATCAATAATATCTGATTATATTAAAATGAATTAAGGACCTATCTCACAATAAATGTTGGGTCATTTAAAACAATGCACCTACACTTTTTTATATTGCAAGCCTGATATGGGATAAATTGAAACTACTTGTGGGGTGAATATACAAACCTAAAGGCATAATTAAGGTTGACTGAGTTCCATTTCATTTTTTTTGCATAAATAAAATATTTGGAACAAGTGACAAACTTCAACATCCTATGTGTGTCACAATCCTGATTGCACCATAGCATTTGCAAATGGGAAGAATCTACTTTATATTTGGTTGCCTCATTGCACAATATGTGTAGAATATTTTCATACATAGAGATGGGTTCACCCCTACTGTGCTTGGATATCTTGGCAATAACACAGGGATTTTTTTTTAACTATAGCTCTACTTTATAATGCATCTGTAGCAATGAATTTATTAGCAGCTTGGCAATGATAGAATGTGAACTCACAGATAAATCTCCCACTCTTCCTAGGACACTCTAGATGATTATTTTTTTGAAAATCCTATTCTAGAGATTAGAATACTAATCTCAAGAATTTTAGTGTCAAAAATTAATTACCAACTCAAACACGTTCTTTAGTTTTTCAGAAAGTTCTCATACTATTTTATACAAAGAACTTATTATTTTTATATAAAAATTCACAAACAGCACATAATGAGGTTCATAATATTCCTAGTAATTCAAAAAAGAGGTTAAGCCTAACAAGTAAGCCTCTCAGAACACAGCAGAACTGGTTCCTGAGCAAACATTCACATGATTAGTATGTACTCTAAATAGTTTCTTTCAATGTCATGTATGTTTCCTAAGATGTCCTTTAGTTTTACTCTTCAAAAACATGTTAACCCAACTGCACTTCTTAGAGTACGAGAAATAAGATTCTGAAAAAATACGTTAAAATAAAAATAATAATCTTGATATTTTCATTTCACCTCATTATGTTAAAAGTTTTTTCAAGTCATCCCGTTATTTTTAAGTATGCTTTCCTTCTAAATATTGATAGGATATGGAAAAATTTATGGAATTTGGAATTCCTTTGGAATGAACTGCCCCCGGAGATACGGAATATCCCTGATCTCCGTGCTTTCCGCCGTGCCCTCAAGACCCTGATGTTCCAACAGGCAGGGCCAAACATACGAACATGTGAATGATTTTTAAATGTTATCTAATTCTGGGTTTTATTTAATTGACCAAACTAAGTAATAATTTTAATTAGCAATTTTATGATGTTTGTGTGTCTATATTTTTCTTGACTGTACACCGCCTTGAGTCCTATGGGAGAAAGGCGGTATAGAAATATAATAAATAAATAAATAAAAAATTGTGTACTCCGTACTTATTACTTTAAACAAGATAGAGAAAACATGGATTTCACTCTCTTATTTTTTTTTCACCACACCCTAAATTTTTGCCAAAAAAGTCATGATTAGTATTAGTTAGTCCAAAGGAGAAACTTCTTTATTTTTTAATAACAGAAGATAGGCCAGATTGACAGTAGTACAAATACTTTTGTTAATCTTGAATATAAAACAACTTCTTTGTTCCACTATATCCTGGTAATTAAAGAGTTATAAGGCTTGTCCATCTTTAGTACACAGATACATTTATACACTAGCATATTAACATATCCATATGAATATACATAGCATTCTTTGGGTAGCCATACAAATGCATTCACCTATTTAATATCATCCAAGTTATACTACAAAAAGTATGGTTTCTATAGAAACATAAATAAGTATTTAAAGTGTATGCATTTGTATATGTATATAATTTATATATGGGTAATTACATAAAGAAATCAGACATTTTTACAGATTTTAAGATTGAAAGCAATAAACGCAAGTTACAGGAACAGTGCAAAAAACACATTAAGGTGAGAGATATCCACAAGCTTCAAAACATACAAACATAAGACTTGCTATTTAACAATTAATTGTTAAAAATAAGCTAGATACAGTTCTAGCTTTATTTTTGTTTTAAAGCTCTGGCCACTGTAACTATTTGTATCCCCAAATCATTTCAATTGGCAAGGCAGCACACATAGCTGTACTGTATTTATTTTGCCTTTCACCTTCTGCAAGCTACCCACCTAGAGAACTCACACAAAACGAAGTCAATAGAAAAAGTGCGCACGTGCAAACCGAAGCCCCTTGGACCAAAAGCAGCCGAAGGCCCCGGGACTAACGACAGGAACACTGGGATGCATTTGACTCCAAGCTTGACAGATGCAGCGGAAGGGGAGCCGACTGATTGCGCTTAATGGCGACTCCCAATGGCCTGGCGCTCTCGCTCTCCCGAATCCCGGGCACAAGTCCCGCCCCGGACCCTTAGCGGCTGGCTCGCAAAACACCGCCGCAGCTGGCAAGCCTCTCTGCCCTTGCCTACGGCTCCGAACGCTTCCCCAGATCCTCTCTCAGCCCTTCCTCTCCGATGCGTCTTCCCTGCAACCGCAACCAGCCTCCCCCGCCGCAGCGCTTCAAAGCCCAACCCGCCTTCATCCCGATGTTACCACTGCACTTCCCATTAAACGCAACGAGCAAAGAGACCGCCTACCCCCACCCCCCCCACCCCCACCCCCACGGCAAGGGATTCAAGGCAGCATTCTCCGATAACTCCCGACCCCGGTCGCCTGCCTGCCTGCCTGCCTGCCTGCCTGACCGCGGGTCGCCCTGGCGCAGCCATCGCCCCTCCGGCAGACTTTGGCGATAGGCCTGGAGCAAAAGCACCTGCGCCTACCTGTTGCGCCGCTTGTCAGCACTTTCCTCTTCCGAGAGAGCTGGTGGACTGCCTCCTTCCTCTGGCTTGCACTTCCTCCTCCTCCTCCTCCTGGGGCTGCTGCTGCTGCTGCTCCGGCTGCGGCTGTTACCACCGTTGCGTCAAAACCGGAACATGGCGTCGGGGCCAGCTGCTATATATACAGGAGGGAAGAAGCGGGAGTAGGACTTCCCTGCGCGCCTGGGCTCGGGCACCCCCGCGGAGTTTCAGGGAGCCAGCAGATCGTCAGTGGAACACCTCCTTCCGGAATTCTTGAATCGCTTGCCGAACGGAGATGCAGCCCAGACGGCTTTTTTGTTTGTTTGTTACCGGTTTAGTTTGCCACAAGTGGGCAAAAATGGCCGAAAGCGCACGTTCTCTGGGTGCGCCAAAACTCTTGAGATATCGCTGCTCCCCTTTCTGTGGCTGGCAAACGGAGGTTTAGCCCCTCTTCTGGCCAATCACCATTATGTAGCGAAACTCTCCCGTCGCTCCGCTCGTCTGGAAGCCCAGCAGAGCCTGTGACCCTTTTAATCATCACACCACACAGGCTGGAAAGAGAGGAAGGTACTTTTTGGTTCACCGATATACTTTCCCAACACTGAGTTCTGCTTGATGCCCATGGATTTTCTCTAAGCTCGATTGCTCCATTGTCCCGGAAGAACCGAAGAAAACATACCCCTCTGCACTACAGTCTCCCCGCCTACCATTACCAACTCAACATTTAAATTTAGTGGGGAAAATGTTTCCAATAAAGCTTTTCTTTTCCTAATTTCCAAAATTGGATTTCCAAGATTAATTTCAGAAATTTGAAGAAAAGATTTATGCCGTTTAATAAAGTTGTTAGAAAAGGTGCTACAGATTTCCCCCCCCCCCCAAATGGTTCAGATGTCAGGAGGGGCATAAGCTGTTCAGCATGCAAAATTTGAGCATTCTTTAATATAGAGTTGCATCCTTGACTCTCTATCATGATAAAAAAAATAGGTTTTTGTTTGACCAATTAAATGCTACACACCCTATAGCACAGCAATTTGTCATCAAGCCTCTTCCTCATTCAAGCATGTGTCAAATAGCAAGAGTTATAGAAAAAAACAAAGCCAAATGAAGAGCAATAATCTCATAACCACTTCTTTCAGAACACTGGAATGACTCCATTTGACAAGGTCTCTAGACATAATGACTGAACATACTTTAAGCTATTAGTTAGGGGCAAGCAAAACCTGAGCAAGAATGCAGTCAATCTAAAGACTGTTTAAGAGGAAACTGAGAGGTCTCCAAAGATGCCAAATCCGGTAAGATTATCATACAACATACAAGTTATTTGCAGAACTCACTAGTTAACCCATCTTAGCCTACTGCTTCTATAGGCTACATTGTGTAAATAGTTTATATAGTTAGTGTTTCAAATTCTGCAAATGCAGAAAACTGATTAGCTGAATATCCTTAACATGTCATGTGAACATGAGCATTCACTATTTAGTGATTGAGCTATACTCACAAGGTAAAGTCTTTTGAGCCAAGTTCAACTCCTGATGATTTCAAAGCCTTATTCAAGGCAAATGGAAGAACTATTGCTTCTGGATTTTTTTTTTTTTACTTCTCAATGTAGACAATAGCCCTGAATTCTGTTTCCCATCCCAGTAGTACCATACTGCTTTCAAAACATTTATTTTTACTGAAATGAGCTGAAATCAAAAGCCAATTTCACTTCTCAACAGTCAATTAAGTGTTTCTGAAATTAACATGGCAGCCTTACTTTGCTATCATGCCTCAAATTAACATGTTATTTATAATGTAAATAAAGCTTAATTTTATTTCTGAATAGAAATTTTATAGTGCATATTATAATCTTGGCCAGTATTTGTTTTAGCCAATTAAATATCATTACAATTTTTTTATACAATACATAAACATGAATAAAATTGGATTTCTCAATGTGATTTCTGACAATACTATGCTCCAATTGAAGGTTTATTATAATGGATGAGTTATATCCTAAAAGTATATAACAATGTTGAGTAACATAAATTGGAAGATATGCTAACATTTTTGTTTCAAATAACTAAACACTGATATTGAGATTCCAATTACTACAATAGTTAGCTATTCTTCCTGGGATAGTTACCTTTCTTTACCAATGGATAGAGGCAATACATGCAACATTATCACTTTATTTTTACTGCTGCTAAACCAACAATAGTAAGAGCTGAGATGGCGCAGTGGTTAGAATGCAGGACTGCAGACTACTTCTGCTGACTGCCTGCAATTTGGCAGTTCAAATCTCACCAGGCTCAAGGTTGACTCAGCCTTCCATCCTTCTGAGATCGGTAAAATGAGGACCCAGATTGCTGGGGCAATATGCTGATTCTATAAACCGCTTAGAGAGGGCTGTAAAGCACTGTGAAGCTGTATATAAGACTAAATGCGACGCTATGCATTATTGTCTTTATAAGGCATTAAACATAGGTCCAATAGAAAATGAATTGGAGAATAATGTAATCAATGCTTTTATTGAAGATATATTATACTACTTCGATTTCCTATTACTCAGCATGCCCTACAAATCCAAAGTATTTATCTTATTTGCCTTATCAAATACAAAAAGAACTTCTGGAATGGACATGAGCAACTACTGGCCATCACTTTCAATTTTGTAGCCCTTTGGTTACAAATTAAGGGATTAGTTTTGAAATGTGCTGGTTTATGCATGAAAAAACTCTTTAGCTACCTCCCATTGCAAAAAAGTTAAAACTTTGAGGACCAATCCCTTCTAAAGATGTCACCAACGTGTTTCTTATGGCCTTCATATTTTCCTCAATTGTCAAAAAGATTACCTGGTCTTGTTTAGAATGTTTTATATATGTAAAGACTGCTGAACACAAAAAAAACCCCTAAGAATATCTTTCATCTACATGCTTTTTCAAGAGTCACTGTTAAAGATATATCCTATAATTCCTTGAAAGATGGTCTTTCCAAGTAATAGCCCCCTAGCTTTTATTCAGCTCTTCATTCACTTCTTTCTGAATTTCCTTTTCAATTTTCGATGTATCATACTCTAGTATCATATCAAATTGTCTCCAAGGCATTTCCCATTTTTTAATTCTTTGTTTGTCTTTTTCTGTAAGATATTCGTCAAAGTTGATGCCCTGGATATTGTATTTTGGATGTTCCCAGCGTTTTGACCACGGTTTGGGCTTCATTTTGACCTTCATCTAATATAATTCAAAATAAAATGTGTTAGTGTGTAAATATCGTATTCCAGCAAAATACTTTCAAAAATGTTATTTTGTACTCATAAAAGTCCCTCATTAACACATATTGATTTTTAGCAATGCTGAGAGATCAGATGTTTCCCAATTATTCTTGGAATGGGTGAACTTGTGCCAATCACTATCTGCTGACTGAAACTCTCAGGGATTATTATACTCTTTAATGAAATAACAACAGAAACAAAAATAGGTGGGCTGTACTTCACACAGGAACCTTATTGGTGAAATACAATGCTGTGCTGGAACCTAAAATCATTTGGAAACCTTTGGAACTTGGCACAGTTTGTAGAGAGATCTTCATGCTCGTAATAAAAAATGTTTTTCTTTGTTAACTCAAAAACAATTATTTATATAGGGGGAGAATGCTGACAATAATAAAAACAGGGTAGTTACCATATACAAGATAGTCCTCGACTTAATAATACTTGCTTAGCAACTATTCAGTTATGATGGATCTCCCTGGGGATATTTACAACCAGTTCCAAAGTTCTGATGGCCAGGCCACCTCTGCAGATGCGTGTCTGCATGTTGGGTGCTTGGCAACTGGCCTGCATTTATGGTCCTTTGCAGCATCCCAGTCTTGTGATCTCACTTTACAACAGTTTAGTCAAAAACTAACATTTACTTCTGGTTTTCAGCTAAACTGGCCCCTAGTGAACCATTGGTTCGCTTATCAACTGCAGCTTTGCTTAGTGATCGCCACAAAAAGTCATTAAAAAAGTTGGTAATATGGGTGACCCAGAGGTGGGTTTCAGCAGGTTCTGACCAGTTCTGGAGAACTGGTAATAGAAATTTTGAGTAGTTCGGAGAACCGGTAAATACCACCTCTGACTGGCCCTGCCTCCATCTATTCTCAACCTCCTGAGTCCCAGCTGATCAGGAGAAAATGGAGATTTTGCAGTAACCTTCCCCTGGAGTGGGGAAGGAATGAGATTTTACAGTATCCTTCCCCTGCCACGTCCACCAAGCCATGCGACACTCAAGCCACACCCACAGAACCAGTAGCAAACAGTTTTGAAACCCACCACTGGGGTGACCTGATTTATGACCATCATGACTGTGTGGGGCAGGTTCCATTACAATAATAAGTCAAGGACTACCTGTAACCTGACAGGAAACCTCTACTGGGAAAACATTCTCCAAGCAAGCAGAATTCTGTACAACAGCTTTACAACACAAAATTATTTTCAAGCACAACAAATTGTTAACTGCATGCAGCAGTTACCCCTTCATATTACCTTATTGACAGGAACTTCATCATAAAGTATGTAAGACACTGGCTTCATGTTTACATCAACAGTGCTGAACTCTGGCAGAGCATCTCGTAAATACAGCAAGTTATCATCTGGCCTCTTCTCCAACTTCAAAACCTTGATCTCATGGATTAGGGGATTATATAATTCATAGCAGATTTCAACACCTTAAAATGAACATTATTTCTTTAATTGATATAGCAAATGCTTACCACACTTAGCTAACAAATTCAGGTTTTCTTAGAATGGACCCAAAATGCTCCAGGTTTTAAAAATATGAAAGCTGAGTTTTCCTTGTGTGATACGGTCAGTTCTTCGTAATTTTTAACCTTGTTGTTTGAAGCTGACACTGTTCCCTTTTGTGAATGTCCTGACTGCATCCTTAAAAAACATAACAAACTTTGTGTACTCACCTTGTCCATTTATCACATTTCGAAGTTTGAAGGTTGCACCAAGTCCCTTTCCTGATCGCTGAATACAAATTCCTACAAAAGTGTTGCATTTTCCATTGGAATAGGGATCCATTGCAGAAACAGCAAGTATACTTCCTGGGAGAAAAGAAAATAATTCAACATTCAGAGAAACTAAGTAAAGTCAGACCCATGAATTAATATAGAGTAAATATAATGCATTAAAATAAAAGTCAACAATTTTCTGATATAGTTTTGTTGCATGTTGCATACTTTCAACGTTCTGGAAATCACATGAACAGCATGGGCAAATACTGCATATGGGACTAGGGTTTTTGCATGAGAACTAATGAGAAACTCTGATTCTTTCAGAATTAAATGAGAAGCCAGGCTTACCAGCCAAGCAATTGATCAAATATGTACATATCCCATGCCCACTCTATTATACTATTTATACATATTTATATAAATATAAATATTACTAGCTCTGTAACATTTAGAATAGAACTGAGTATTGTATTTGATTATTTACTTAAGTATGGACAACTGTTACATGAAAAACATGTTTTCTTTTACATTACAGTACAGTTATTTATGATGTAAGCAATGCCACATTATGAAGTTAACATTCCAAATATAGTACTGACCGACATAAAATTCTGGAATATTGATTACTTTTCTTCTTTTTATCATATGTTGTCTTTCAAGGAAGAATTTTAAATGATTTGTTCTCTGCCGTGGAGGGATGAATTCAGGACTCAAGAACCTATCAGACATATAAATAATTTTAAAATAAAAGAAAATTTGACTTGTTTAACATTTAAAGATTAAATATAACTAGTGTTATTTTTACCGTTTCTCTTTTGCTTGTTGTTTTAATTCATCAATAATGATTGGCTTGGGAGGTGGTTTAAATTGTTCTGGTTCTCCATCTTTACTGTTGAATCGTCGAGCTGATAAAGAAAGGTACCCTTTGGGAGAGTAATATTTACATTAATTAACTGCTATGTTTTAACAACATTTACATAGCTTTAGTAGGCTTTGTGTCCTGTACAATCAAACATCTTTGTATTTCAAGTCTGTATAAAAAATTAAGAAGACACTTAAGAAATATAATCAGATGCATATTGGCTTCTAATTGTGATCCACCTTAGATATTAATATCTATACATGTAAAGGATGCAGCTGGATTGTTGAAAATGCCATTCATACAATAGAAAAACAGTCTTCTGATATTTAATACGTTTATCATGGCATAAGTTTTTGCGGACTAGGATTCATTCCATCAAACGCATAAAGTGCTAACCGCAGTTGACAAATGCAACTTTTTTTAAAAAAAAAAATGAAGATAGGCTTGATTCACACGCAAGGTGCAAAAAGCATAAAATACAACTATTACATACCGAAAAGTCAAGACCAGAGTTCTAAGGAAAGAGCCTGAGATGCTCACAATCTTCCCTTACGACTGTGTTTCTCAACCTTGGCAACTTGAGTGGACTTCAACTCCCAGAATTCCCCAGCCAGCTATGCTATGCCAGCATGAATGACTTCAACTCAAGGAATTCTGGGAGTTGAAGTCCACTCATCTTCAAGTTGCCAAGGTTGAGAAACACTGCCTTGCGGGATACTTACACTCCGGGATATACAAAAACAGAACCAACTGAAACGGCAATCCCTCTTTCCATAGCCTCTCATGCGGAGAACAACGACAGAAGCATGCCCAAGGAGAAAGGCCAACACTTTCACACTCAACCAAGGGCTTTCTTTTTAGGAATATGCCTCCTCGGAAGGCGAAACACGTTCAGAACGAAAACTTACTAGGGCGCCCGACAAGCGGCGACCAAAGCTTCCTTGCAAGAGCGGCCATGACGATTTAGGACGATGCCGTCAAAAGAGAAAAGAGCACATGCGCCTGAGAATGCTACGGCAGCCTCAGAGAGACAAAATTAGTTCTCGCAATGAAAATCATATCCAAGCGGGAACGTTCTGGTTTCAGTAGAACTTTTCATCCTGCTCTACACCGGCTGAAAGTGAGAATTGTCGAAATTAGGGATGCTTTTCTGCGCCAAACTGCCCCTCTCCCCGTATATTGATGGCCAAAATAAAGTTCTTAAATTCTCACCCAGTTTTCCTGGTGATGTGTGAAGCCTTGTTTTTCATTTATATTAAATATACACAGCAATCATCGGTAAGAAAAAACTGTTTCCACTCTCTAGCAAATCTGAGCTTTACTATCAAATTCTCAATCTATACTATGTTTGTCTAATGTTAACAATAGTTGTCTATGCCTTGGAATATCCCTAGTATACCAAATTCATTTAGTATATATTAAGAAGCATTAAGTTTGTACTCCATTTCATAAATGATGTTGGGCAATTATAATGCACAAACGTTACACATCTCTGTCGCATAGTCTTTGCCTGGAATAAGGGCAAGCAGTTATATCATCTTTGGAAAACGTATAGCTACTTCAAAAATTGCTGATTGGGGCTATATTCGTGTTTCTAAATATACTGAAACACCCTTTTCATAATTATTTCCAAAATGCTATACAACTGAACTGAAAATATGACTACCCTTGAAAAATTTCTGAAAGATTTAATTGGTGCATCTAACATAATTGGATCCTGCCTGTTCTGAAATTTCTATACTAGTTTTCTACACATTTTAGCACATTTCATATTTTAGCATTTGTAATTGTGTAATGATATCTTATTACAGTATAACTCTATATTTATGTTTTTATGTTGTTTTTATTGTTAACTGTGCTTTTTAATTAATTTAGTCTGTGTTTACTTTTTTATGGATAGACTGGCAAAGTTATCAAATCTGGGTTGTAAAAAGAGGAATGACCACTAGATGGCAGCAAAGAAATATTAATATTCTAAATCTTGGTGGCTAACCTGCCAGCATCTGGATTTTAGCTCAGTGGAAAGATAGCGTACAAATTATTAAAAATTAGGTTAACCTAGGCAGAGCAAATCACCAACAGTTCCTGTATGGATTTACTGGGGAACAAATAATATGCAAACTTTTGAACAATAGGTACCTGGCATATAATTCAATTCAAGGTGCTGGTTGTCACCTTTAAAGCCCTACATGCTTGGGACCAGGTTATCTGAGGGATCGTCTCTTGCTGGTCACATCTACCCAGCCCATCAGAGCAGGGAGACAGGGAATGTTGCGGGTCCCATCCCCTAGGGAGATACGCCTGGTGGGTCCCAGAAGAAGGGCCTTCTCTGTGGTGGCTCCCTCTCTCTGGAACATCATTCCCCCAGAGATTAGAATGGGCCCCGCTCTAATACTCTTCCGGAAGATGCTGAAGACCTGGTTCTGTCAGCAGACTTGGGAACCCAGAGCTGGATGGAGCTCTGGCTTCTGGCATAAATGGCTTGTGTGATCTGCTATTGCCGGGGTGGGAGGTGGAGGTGATTTTGTTATATTGTACTATATTAATTTATTTGATTCCTTTTGTTAGTTTTATTGTTTTAAATATGGTTTTATATCCTGTAAGCCGCCTTGAGTCTCCTAGGTGAATAGGCAGCAATAAACAAACAAACAAACAAATATTGCTTATATTTCAGATTTCTGAGCATCTTCTTTATTCTTAACCAAGTATGAATAAATATTTAAGCAAAATCCAACATTGCTATAATATTTGGTTGTGGCTGCTATAAGTAATTGGAGAATAATATAAATAGTAAATGCTATTCTGATAGCCTATTGTTTCTCCAAGCTTGTGTTATTCTATAATCACCTCAACATTGAGATAAAAGAGGTTTCTAAAATCAACACTGACCATCCTAATTTCCAAAGACCCCTGAGAATTACTGTTTTGCAATACATTCAATTCTCAGTTACAAATCTTAATTATCCTTTACAGTACAGGCCATTTAACACTCCAAGAGCAGACTGAACAGGTTCAAAGATCACATTATGAAGTCTTTTCCAATATGCAAAGATGCACTGTGTCTACATATAAAGTAAAATATGCAAATTCTATGCTGAATTGAAGTATTATTTGCTCTTCTTTTCTAAACTGATTTTTTCCTATTACTGCATTTTTTAGAGAGAACTTTAATTTGCAATCTGGTCTAGCTGTGCTTACCATACATTACATTGCAGTGCTAAGCTAAACTAAGCTGTTTTTTAAAATGAGGATTTTTTAAAAAAACAAAGAGATATAAAATTGGTTGTTTATTAGCTATTTGTTGTTATTTATTTTGAAATGAATACTGATGCCCAGATAAGCTATGATAACACTGGGATTTCTCCATTACTGGAAATTTCCACTTGGATCCAAGGAATGTTTAAAAAATAGTTTTCACATGAACCTATATACATATATATATATATATTAATTATATAAAAATTATATATAAAAGATTATATATATATATGAACTCATAGTCTCTTGCTTTCTAGGCTATAGTAGTTGCCCTTACCATTACATGAAACTTGCTATACAATCTTCCGAGCTAACTAAGCGTTATTGGTGCTCATCTTGGGGGAGGGCTCATTTGTTATTACAGTTGCCTTTTATAATTTTGATTTATTCTATGGTTTTTATTTTGAGTTGTTATAACTTGCCCAGAGTTAGGTTGGTAGGTTGAATTGGGTTGGTCATAAAAAATTAAAATAAATAAAAGCATGCGCCCGAGGCAGCCAAGCAAGCAATATTTTTCCTTTTTCGTCTTTGAAGTCCTTGTCACCATGTCTTTTCACCCAATATTTTGAAAGTGTTTCTTAGAGCTCGTTTAGTGCCCTGTGTTGTGTGTGTGCTTATGGTTTTTTTTTTACTAGTTCTTGCAGCACAGGAATTGCAGCATAGTTTTCAGGTTTTATAATTTATTTTATTTATTTTATTTTAATTAGATTTATATGCCGCCCTATCTCCATAGGACTCAGGGCGGCTCACAACAATTAAGATATACAATCTCAATCCAAGTAAGAAACATATTAAAATACATATTAAACGTATATTAAAATACATTAAAAATCAAAACCCCATCAGTCCAGGCTGGGCAATTTAAACAGCCATGTTTTTAGTTCGTGGCGGAAAGTGCGAAGGTCAGGGGCCAACCGGAGCCCCTGGGGGAGTTGATTCCAAAGGGTGGGTGCGCCCACAGAGAAAGCTCTACCTCTGGGGGTCGCCAGCCGACATTGTCTAGCTGACGGCACCCTGAGTAGGCCCTCCCTGTGAGAACGTACCGGATGATGGGGAGCTGTTGCTGGTTGCAGATGGTCCAACAGATATCCTGGGCCTAAGCCATGTAGGACTTTATAGGTCATCACCAGCACCTTGAATCTCACCCGGAGGGCAACCGGCAGCCAATGCAAGTCATGCAGGAGAAGTGTAACATGAGCGTATTGGGATCCTCCCATCACAACCCGCCCGGCCGCATTCTGCACCAGCTGAAGCCTCCGAGTGGTCTTCAAGGGCAGCCCCAAGTAGAGAGCATTGCAGTAGTCAATACGGGAGGTGACTAGCGCATGAGTAACTGTGCGTAGGGCATCCCGGTCCAAATAGGGGCGCAACTGGCACACCAGGCGAACCTGGGCAAACGCCCGCCTGGTCACGGTTGTTATATGATCTTCTAAGCTCAACTGTGAGTCCAGGAGGACACTCAAGTTGCATGCCCTGTCTACAGGGGGTAACACCTCGCCCCCTATAGCCAAAGATGGAACCTCTTGATCGGACCGAGATGCCAGTACCCACAGCCACTCGGTCTCCGCAGGGTTGAGCTGAAGACTTTCCTCCCCATCCAGACACGTACCGCTTCCAGGCACCGGGGACATCACATCGAGGGCATTACTGGGCTGGTTCGGGGTGGATATAAAAAGTTGGGTATCATCAGCATACTGATGATACCTCACCCCGAATGATCTCTCCCAGCGGCTTCATATAAATGTTGAATAGAAGAGGCAAGAGGACCGACCCCTGGGGCACCCCACAAGTGAGGGGCCTCATGGCCGACCTCTGCCCCCCCACCAACACCGCTTGCGTACGACCCGAGAGGTAAGAGGCGAACCACCGTAAAACAGTGCCTCCCACTCCTAACCCCTTGAGGTGTCGCAGCAAGACCATGGTCGATGGTATCGAAAGCCGCCGAAAGATCTAATAGGACCAGAACAGAGAAATAACCTCTGTCCCGAGCCCTCCAGAGATCATCCACCAGCGCGACCAATGCTGTATCCGGGCCTGAAACCTGATTGGCATAGATCTAGATACTCCGCTTCATCCAGGGCCATCGGGAGCTGATGTGCCACCATAATGTGATTTTAAATGCTGATGTTCAGAGTTTTAGGAAACTTGTATGCCTGCTTTTCCTAACCCATTTTAATTTTTTGTTCTGTTTTATAAATAGGCTGGAAAACTGCAGAATTATTTCTGTCCCCTGCCATTCTGTATATCCTGTAGGAGGAGCTCAAAAGATTCCTCAGAACTAGCACTGATGTTACCTACTTTGGATAATGAAACGCCTGCAACAAAACAGCCAATCTCCTAGAACACCAAGGACTCTTCAGATTCAACAGAACAGAATTACAGAGTTAGAAGGGACCTTGTAGGTCATCTAGTCCAACCCCCTGCCCAAGCAGGAGACCCTACACCATTTCTGACAGATGGCAGTCCTGTCTCTTCCTGAAAGCTTCCATTGATGAAGCTCCCACAACTTCTGAAGGCAAGCTGTTCCATTGGTTGATTGTTCTCACTGTCAGAAAATTTCTCCTTATTTCTAGGTTCAATCTCTCCTTGATCAGTTTCCATCCATTATTCCTTGTCTGTGTTCTGACCCGGCCTTTGCAGAAGCAAGAAACTGACTCCCTGCAAAGAAAACCCCCTCTTTATTTACACATTGGGAATTAACTGCAATCACCAACAGAAAGTCCAGGCAAGAGTCCAGCAATAAGTTAACTG